GTGCAAATTTCAAGATTCATAAAACTCAAGAGAAATTTCTTTGATGGTGTTAGAACCGACTTGGCACAAATAAATGAAAAAGGTGTTCCTATACCAAATTGTAAGTATAATTTTGGTATTTCGCGAACAAGTCCCCCAATTAATTTTTCTAGTTTTTACCAAATATGGAAAAATGTCGAAAACAGCTGGCAACACTAGCCAATTCACTTTGTCATAATCATAACCAAAGCAATAACAACAACTTTACTTAGCTTTACTTAATTCACCGTGAAACGTATGACTGTGCCACATGCTACCACCTACTGTGCGAACACCGACGACAAACTGTCAAATCGAAATTTGTGAGCTGCGAAAAACAATCGAAGTGTGGATGGCAAATATTTTTACAACGGCAAATATTTATTTATTTACAAGCAGACGCGTGAGCAGCAACATGCAATGCACAAATTATAATAAAACATGAGAACGCAAATAAAATAAAATACCGCGACAGCGTACAACATGCAACAGCGTGGCTACAACAACAACAGCGAGCGGGCAAGCGCTTATCAGCGCGAGGCGATCGATACATCAATATGGTCAATAAAGTCACACCGGCCAACCGGGCTGGACATAGCAAACAACAACAACAACAACAAACAAACACACACACAAAGTTGTTGTGCGCGATACCCACACAAGCGTGCGTGCAACAAGCCGCAGCTATGTGCAGCTTTGTTGTGGCGTGTTGCTGCAACAGCAGCGACAACAAAAATCAATGCTGTCAAAGCGCTGCAAACAATTGTGGTTACACTTCTTTATTGTTGTTGTTGTTTTTACTTTTGTAGCTGCCTTTTTCAGGCTAACAAATTGAAATTTAAGAAGTTTGGCTGCCGTTGCCTGCACTGCGTTCGCTTTGTTGTTGCCACCGAGCGCATAAGCGCGTAGTATGTTGGCTAATTTATATTGTGTTGCTGGCGTTGTTGCATGTTGTTGTTGTATAACATTGCTGTTATGTTGCTTGTGCGCCAATCGCTGGTGATTTTGTTGCTGATCGCTTGGGTTATCTTCTTCTTTTTTGTTTTCTTGCGCTTCCTGCCGTTTTGCAAGCGTTATTTTCACAAACAGCAACAACAATGTAATAGGTGTGTATGTATGTATATGCATGTGCAGCACTAGTACAAAAGTTAATAAAAATAAAGATAAACCAAGTGTACAATGTGACTAACAACATTGACTCGCTGGCGGATCAATGTAGTGAGCGCACAAAATTCGGCAGAAAAAGTTGCAAGTTGCTGATGTTTTATTTTCAAGGTTTACACTTAAATAAAAGCAAAAATATTTTTGACAAAATTAGAACAAAAAAAACAATAAGTTATAATAAATTCAGAAAAAAAATTAAATATTAAAAATATATTAAATAGTATTAAAAAAATTAAAAAAAAACTTGCAATTTCAAAATATAACTTTAAGCCTTGAATATTCGCGATTTTTAGAATTTTTAATACGAAGGAGTATATATTAAGGGTTAAGATTTATCACGGAAATCATCCTTGAAAAAGCTAAGCATACTTAAAAGAAACATCAAGAGAACATAGAAATTTTCTGAAAACTAATTTAGATGATTTGGACCCGTAACCTTACTTAAATATATATTAATATGTATATGCACATTAAAAGGTTAAATGCCTTGAAAATAATAAAAAAATACAAGACCCGTTACTCCGGCATTTCTTATAGCAAAAAATTGGTATAAAATTATCTTTATCTTGATTTTGTTCAGACGGTTTGTATGGCAGATATATGTAATAGTGATCCGATCTGAACAATTTCTTCGGAGACTGTAGGGTTGCTTTAGCCAATAACATACATCAAATTTCGTGAAGATATTTCGTCAAATCAAAAAGGTTTCCATAACGGCACTTGATTCTGATCGTTCAGTTTGTATGGCAGCTATATGCTATAGTGATCCGATATGGGCGGTTTCGGCAAATGAGCAGCTTCTTGGGGAAAACAGACATATGCAAAATTTCAAATCAATAGATTCAAAGACTATTTTGACCCTTCAATACCCGTCTAAATGAAATATTTGAAATTTTTCAAATAGTATTCGTTATGGTGTCACTACTTGTTATGAAATTTTTTTAAATTTTATTTTAGCCTAGTCTCCCAAATAAGAAGGTTAAACGTCATTTTGTGGCACGAACAAAATATCAGACGCCCTTAAACGAATTTCTCTACAGGATGTACATATTATTTTAGATTATTTCGACCTTTAGGTACAACATAATTCCTATACAGGGATTTTAGAAAATAAATTATACATAAATATTAGTATTAAGGAGATTTTCAAAAATATTCTTTGAACTTTTAATCTTTAGCGCAAAAATACTTTTAGATTGATTTTCGAGCTGAGTATATAGAAAACGAGAAAACGTAGAATTTTTGATAAGATTTAAATGCCTCAAGTATATTTTCCATTTTTTAAAATTGCAGTTTTTATAGATTTTAATACGTTTAACCTTTATGAAAAATATGTTTATAGAGACGTTCGAAACTGGTGTGAACTGGCTTCTTATAAAAATAAGATATAATCAAAAAATTAAATAAAGAATATGTAAAATCAGATATTAAAAATTGTATATATATAATATAATAATATTGATATTAACTTTTATTGAAAAAAGTAAAAAATCCAATTTGTTTTTCTAAAACTGTGTTTCAAACTTTTTTGCCAAGGCTTATTTCAAATTAAGTTGATATGAAGGCTTAGATCTTGAATACAGTCAACTGCTCCAACAACTAATGGTCTCAAAGCGAACTCTGACAGTTTAAAAAGGATATTAGTCGAGCAGACTTTGAAGTGTGGCGAAACGAGTACACAACTAGAGTAGATAAGAGAGATATTGGTGAATATACCACTTTCTACCACTCTCTTATATTAAATGCATATGTACCACTATATAACTTCATTATTGTTTTCATATGTACATTTTTTACAAGGGAGCTAAAGTGAAAGATTAGTGACCATAAGAGAGGAAGCTTTTTGTGTCCGATCTAAATTTAGCTTTAATCTTAAATATTAGTGTTAAAAACCCAGGTAAACAGCCCTTTTTTTACTCTCTTGTTCAATTTGTCGATTCAATGGAGATGATCCACTATATAATAAATGACAAAATGTTCAAAAACTCGATTATTTTGGCTGACATTCTGTTAACCTACACGCAAATTTCTAAAAATTCGATTTTGGCTTATAGCTTCAACACTACAAATTATAGCAGTTACTTGTTCGTTTCACCTCCTTCAAAAACTTAAGTGAGAAAGAGCGAGAATATATAATTTCTAGCTGATCTCTCTTAATTGGTTTATATCAGTTATTAGTTCGATTCACTTCTCTTAAAAATTTTAAGTGAGAAGCAGTGAGAATATGTAATTGCTACCTATTCTTTAGTTATACCGGTCTTTTCGGGTATAACAGGGGTTTATATCAGTTAATTGTTCAATTCACCATTCTTAAAAACCAAAACAGTAAGATATTTGAATGCTAGCTATTCTCTCTTAATTTGCTTATACCAGTCGTTTTGGTTTATATCAGTTACTTGTTCGATTCACCTCTTTTCAAAATTTTGTCATTCAAGTAAATGTTTGGTGGGTTTTATAATCGCTCTTACTGAAGTTCCCAAGCAAAAGGTTTTCTAATTTTTGTGCATATTTCTCACTGTGTACCAGCAATGTTTCCTCAGGTTGTACCTCTCGCACCTCTTAAGGGTGATCGGTTTTAAGTTTTTCAATTGCTCTCCTGCATTTTACTTTATTTTATATCTCTTAAGCTTCTTCTTATTTTCTTCACTTTTCGTTTTTCTTTTCTGCTGCTGACTGAAATCTTAGCCTACAAATTGCAGATCACGGATTTCATGTTGTACATGCAAATTCATGGCTACTGTTGTGTGGCATGCCATGCCACTGGCCACTTTTATCATGTTTGCTTGCTGTTGTTGTTATTGTTATAGCTACACGGCTGCCATCCTTCCGTACTCCTAGCCACTTTACACGCTTGCGATTTGCTCACCCAAAAATATATCGAGTTTTCGAATGTACGTTTTGAAATCGTTTAGTTTGTCGTATATGTGGCATTATGTTGTTGTTGTTGCATATATACATATACATATACATATGTGATATATGTACTTAGTTAAACCGGGAGGCAGGTTAACAATTTAGTCTCTTAGAATGTCACAAGCTAAACATTGCCGCTGTTGTAATAGCCAAGCTGTTGTCGCTGCTTATAGTTGTTGTAATCGCTTAGTGTTGTTGTTGCCGCGAACATGCAACAAGTGACAGTGGCAGTGACATCAGCCGCATTTCATTTGTTGCTGTTGTCAATTTCTTTCTTTTTTGCGCCATTATAGATGAGTCTTTCACTTTAGTCATGCATGGGGTTTCTACGATCGCTGAACTTAAATGGTTAATATGTAACGGAAAGTTGCCATAAGTTCATTTCTTATATGCCACATTTATATAAAATTTACGTTCTTGATTATTTGGTTGCGTTGAATGTTTTTCTTCGGAACAAGCACTGCTCTTTGCTGACAGGTTTCAGAAAACACACAAAGAAGTACGTTTTCCACGAAATGCTTCATTCGGAGTATTCGTATTTAGATATAGATTCAAATTATGTAAAAAAAATCGTTTTTTTTTTGAAACCCCAAGTGTAGGGGACCCCTTTAAGCCAGACAGAAGCAGAGCAGGTGTTTCAGCGTGTCTTCATGCCTACTTTCCTACACTTTGTACGTTAATAATGCCCATACGGCTCGCAGGTGATGCTAGTAAGTTGTGATCTGTGATTAGACCAACAACCGTCCTGTAGAATTATCGAGACCATGTGAGTAAAAAGCTAGCGTGTTTTCCTTCCGTTCCCTTACACATGATCTTGACGCCCTTAAGGCATTCCATCTACCCTGATCCGTCTGTTAGACTTTTCGAAAATTTCACGTTGAATCGTTTATCGCGTCTCACATTAGCAATATCCTGATAAGCTGCCTCGCGGGTTTGCTGATTCTGTTACTCTTTATCGTCGCAATTTATTACAAATTTCGCAAAGGAGTTAACATCTGGTTATTTTATCATAAGGCGTGTTTATGTTGCATCAATGAAGATGAGTTGGATAAGGATAAAAATTTCGATGCCTTTATCTCCTACGCACATCAAGATGAAGACTTTATCAATCAGACGCTGCTGCCGCAGTTAGAGCAAGGCACGCCACCATTTCGCATTTGTACACACGAACGCAATTGGCTTGCAGGCGCTTATATACCCGAACAAATTGTCGAATCGGTCGCACAATCGTGTCGCACGATCATTATACTCTCACAGCATTTCATCGAGTCCGATTGGGCGCGCATGGAGTGTCGCACGGCGCATCAATATTCCTTGAACGAGGGGCGTGCGCGCATAATTATTGTGAAATATGGTGAAATTAGTTGTACCGAACAATTGGATGAAGAGCTGAAAGCCTATTTGGATGCAAACACCTATTTGGACTGGGCCGATCAAGGATTCTGGCAGAAATTGCGTTATGCCATGCCACTTAGGAAGGGTGAGAGTCGTAACGCAGGCATGCTTGAGTTAAACAAGCGAGTTTATGTAATCGGAGCCGTAGGGCTGAATCGTTGATGTAAGAAACCGTGTTAAAACCGCTTTATAGTACATGAACCGAATATTTTAACGATTTGATTATTTTTTTGCTTAGATATCGCCGCTTGAGCTCGCCATGCTGAAGAATCTGTCATATTGCTTTTTGGCACTAAATTGTAACTGAATTTAAATTTGAATCACCTCGACGAAAAACAAGCACTTTCAGAAGGTTTGCGCGGTCTACATCTTCATCACTCTAAAGGAAAAGCTCTATAAACAATAGTCACCGCTAAAGTACCACAATCGCGTCAAGACCGCGTCCATACCATATGTGCCAATTTAAAATGCCGATTATAATAATCTAAACTTAGACGGCCAATGGAAAGATAGAGTTTGAGTTTTTTAGGTTATATTTATCCGTATAATATAGTTGATAAATTTTCAGTTGGTTGTTTATCGATGCTGTTGTTTACTTTTAGCAAATTTTAGTTCTATATAGATAAGATTCCTAGAACTGAAGTTAAATTAAGCGACGTAATACACAACGTTTCATATATCATATCTTCGAACCGCTCTACATGTAATAATAATGACTTATTCCAAAGCATTGAACCAATACTCTCTTCGATGGAGAGCATTGGATCTTCTAGTTTTTATATTAAAAGTTCAAAAAGATGAAAACCTATAATGTTTTTCATGCAGTTGCTTTCCACACTTAAGATTCTCGCTTTAACTTTGTCAATTAATATGGTATAACCGAAAACAGTTTGCCATTGAAGCTGATCGTTCGGCCATATTAACTGCGTTGAACTTAAGATTATCTTAATGCGTCCAGACATTTCCTGAGGCCCACCCTCTATGCACGGCCGACTCCCTTTCGTTACAGTGGCGATTTCGTTTCATTTTAGTTTCTGTTGTAGTTGTTCTTACAATTTTACGACATCATAAAAATCACCCGAAGGATTCAATTATCCTTTTGTGTATCGATTCTATTTGTCGGTTTGTCACACAGACTACTGTTGCGCCCAGATAATCAGGCGGCAGCGTTTGCTATGTGCACGCATACACACATTCTCGTGTCTTCTTCATCTTCAGCGCACAGTTTGCCATTACTTTGACATTTTTAATGACATTTCACTAATTTTATGGCCTTTTCCGCGACGACCTTCTGCTGCCTGAACACACAAGCGAGTTGCTTAGAACTTTTGTGCGAATGTGTGTATACTATGTATAGTCAAAGTTATAATAGTAGTCGGCTGTATGATCTATATCTCAGCGTCTGACGCATCGTAAAAACGCAGCATGCACTTGACGTCATCGTCGCTTTTACCTCTCTCTTCTATATAACATACATATAAACACTCACATTCAGAGACGTTTGTATAGCGGCTGCTGGTGGGCTACTGTAACTGCCGATGTAATAACTCTATTTGATAACAAAGAAAAAATAATAAAAATTATTAAATGCAACCAAAAATAGTTTATGGCTTTCCAGATTACAAAAAATTACAGGTATTTGGTTTTTGGAGATTTTAACATACCAAAAAAAATAAAAGAAAATACAAGTAAGCAAGGACTAAGTTCAGGTGTAACGGAAAATTGTATACGCTAGCAATTTGTAAGGCTCCAAGATGACGAAATACATGATTTCGATCGTTCAGTTTATATGACAGCTATATGCCATTGCGGTCTAATCACAACTATTTCTTCGGTGATTACACTGATGCTTTGGGCACTAATCCACACCAAATATCTTGAAGATATCTCGTCAAATGAAGAAGTTTTCTATACAAGCATTTTATTCCGATCGTTCAGTTTGTATGACATGCTATAGTCATTCGATATCGGCGGTTTCGACAATGAGCAGCTTCTTGGGGAGAAAAGGGCGTATGAAAAACGTCAGATCGACATCTCAAAAACTGTGGAAGACAGACGGATGGACAGGCGGACTTTGCTAAATCGACTGAGCTCGTCATGCTGTTAATTTATATACACCTTTTATAGAGTCTCCGACATTTCCTTCTTGATGTAACGTTGTGGAAAATTAAATTGACCCTGTTTAGGGTATAAATATTAGCTATATTGAGGTTGTGGGAAACACTAAATCGATTTTAATCTCTATCTTGCCCTCTCAATTTCATTGTGCTGTCTCTTAGATTTGCCGAGATTTTCGTGAGAGGTGTCACATCTTGAATTTAATAGTTTTGCAAAACTTTATTTAGATATCTTCTTGATATCTGGTGCTTGATTTATATATTATATATTATAAAGGGACAGAAAATTAAGACATTGGTATATTTTTATACCGGTGCTAGTGGGTAGTTATTATCCGACTTAACCAATTTTTACACTGTACAATGAAATTTTGCCCTCCACTATGATTTACTTTAAGAAATGGGGATAGAGGGATAAGCGGACAGACTGACAGGCATCCGGAGTTTAGCTTGTCTCATACATACATATAACTCTAGCGTTAGGTGAACAAAGCTATTATACTCCTTGCAACATGTTGCGAGTGTATAAAATATTCAAAAATAAAAAAAAAAACATTGAAAATATTTTTTTTTGTGCAAACACAAATTCCGCCGAGTAAGTCAATAAAATCAAAAATTTCATCCTCAACTTTTTTGATTGCCATCTCTTCACTCATATTTCTGTCAACGCATTTTATGACTCGCCTATTTTCCCATAAATAATTTCTCAGCACCTGCGCTACGCAAACGTTCATAATTTTAGTTTAATAGCTCTGCAGCGCTAGTCAGTTGGTTTGGTAACCCGTTCTTCTATATAAGATCTTCTAAAAAGGTATAAAAAAATATTTACAAATATTACGACAACCCCTTTTGACTATTTGGGTGGTACTTGGTAAATGACTGTGTGGCGCCACATGCGAAATAGGCGTACCTGCCAACTTACATTCGGGAATGCCGCGTACTTATGAGATTGGTAGGTGATGTGTGTGACTAGTAGGAGATATTATACAAAAAGAGAGAACTTAGCCATAGTTACAAGTAGCGTAATAAAATTACTTGAAGACATGTTACACATTGGTCGAGATTGGAAATGCCCGTGAAATATGACCAAGTCGTCGCCCTGACTTAGCCATAGACTTTATGATAGGTGCTTCAATTTATCAAAATAATTTAATATTTTTAAAAATTATAATGCATCTAGAGAATTCTTTGACTATAAAATATAATTAATTAAAAAAAAAAATAATTTTTAAATCAACCTTTCCAAATAAGTTGCAACCCTTTTTAAAACTTTTCTGCTTTCAAACATTTTGAGAGATTCCGTTTCCTAAAAATATATTTTGCCCTTTATTACAATTGTTTTTTTTTTGTGGCATTCGATTTGTGATAGTTGGCAACCCTATATAAATAAGATTTTAAATTTTTTATGTGGAAGGATTTTGGCATAGATTTTACCAGATAACAATATTTTTCAGCTCAGCCGCTATAATTTAATTATTTAGAATTTAATTTTTTCATGTACATATGTAGGTGGCAACCCTTTTTATTTGTTCCATGTTTTGATGTTGAAGGTTTCAGTTTATTATAATGTCGTTCAGGTGACTAGGTGAAAACCATATTCAGAGTTTTAACTGTTAATTGATATTTTGAAATTTATCTAATGTTTTTATTTTGCCGTTATAATACTAATATATAAAATCAACCATATTTGAAGTTTTAAGGAATTATGAAAGTGAAGTACTTGTTAACAATATTTTATAATACGACGCCGATATGCTACTATTTCGAAATATAATATATTTAATATGAATTTACCGATAGGTGGCAACCCTGTTAGCATTTGTTTGGGTAAAAACTCTGTAGTGGATCTTATTTGTAAACATAATTTTTATATTTTGTTTTTGTAATTCAATTAATTTCATTTTAATACTTAGTGTTGCCACCATTTCAAAATTTTTTCGAGTTGTTTATTCAATTGAATATACTAATGCAATACAATTTATTAGTATGTACATATATATGTATATATACAATATATAATATATGTATACTTGCATATAAATTCCTCCCATTCACTAAATTTTTTCTCCGTCACGCGTAAATTGCCAAAGCACCTATAAATATGTCCGCAAGCATGTGTAAGTGGCTGTGAACTTTTCGAATATCTTCGATCGTGTCGCAGATGTTGTAGCCTATTACGATTTTTGCGCGTTGTTGTCGCATCCTTAAGTTGTTAATGCTGTTCTTGTGCTTATACTTGTTGTTGTGCGCGTAGTTGATGCTCTTGATGGCGCTGATGCATGTCCGACGCCTGTCTGGACACCTACGCAATAAATGTGTATACGCATTCAACGTGGCAACATACATGGCATAAGCGCGACAAAAACAACAATATGCCATAATGTATACAGACAGACGCTGCCACCTACATAAGTACTTCGTTTGCTGTCAAAGTCTATATTGTGTTGACACTAAATTTGCATTAAAACGCACTTTGCCACCGATTTGAACACCGATGCAGCGCTGTGGGTAGTTGGATGTAGCGCATGCCACAAGGCAACAAGCAGAAAGCAACAAGCTATTTGCAGCTTGCAACAGACTCATTTGCTGTTGCGCGTTGTTAGGTGTAGTGCTGCACGCATTGTGCGGCATGCACGGTGCGTTTGCTGCATATTACTCACCCGGTTGACAGCGTTGCAACGAATGGACACACACATACATATATGAATGTATATTTGTTTGTTTATTTTTTTTGTATATGAGTATCATTTGAATACTACTCTATCTGGCTTTATATAATATATAGGCTGCCAAGTATAGTGATCCAAATGATGTTGGAAATCGGTCGTTTTCCTCACAAATTAGGGATCTAAATGTTTTCGGTTGACTTTTTGCCGTATATATTACATATCTATGTATGAGTTGCTACGCTAAGATTGATACTTGATACGTCATGATAAACACCGTAGGTCTAACAGTATTAAATCGCAGTTTCTAGATGTTCTTTAACATAATCGAGGTAGCTTATTGAACATGACTCGAAAAAGAGCGATTTTAGCATGCACT